CATCTTCCTTCCGAGGAGTGGCTGGTGGGTTTGAACCGCCAGCCTTCTGGTTAGCAGTCAAGTGCCCTAGGCACTAATACTAGTGAAGTAGATAAACAAGAACCCTGCTTTCATGGAGTTTGGTGGCATAGATGGATAATACATACTATAACTAAAAATCAAATGAGAAAAAAATAACAACTTTGGTGAGTAGTTCTACACAGAAACACACCCAAGTCATGTGAATAGCAGTTAGAGAGGCTTAGCATTAGATGGCTGGATTGGAGAGGATTGTTAGAGGAAACAACATTGGAGCCACAGTCCCTATGAGCATCCAGCACAGGCATTTGAAGCTCTAGGGAAAGAGCATTCTAGGCAGAGGGAACATCAGGTGCAAACACCCCAAGATGGGCACAAACCTGGGTCGCAGGAAAACATTGACTAGATTGTAAGGAATGGGGGCAGAGGGACATAAAGGATGAGGATGGAGGAGGGAGTAATGGAAGGCAGAACCTAGCTCAGTGTTGGCAGTCTGTGATCTCAAGATTATTGATCCAGTTTTATCCACCTAAATAGTGCACACCTGGATGTCAAATATCCAGGGGTAGATGGATAACAGACCGTCTCAGAAATCATACTGGGAAAGACATATAGTTTAGGCACCTGTGAGGTCATGGAGTCTTAAATCAGAGATCTTTATGGCACCCTGGAGCCTACACAGTTTTTACAGAAGAAGCTGAACGCCAAATTAAGCAGTCTTGGTCAGCCTGAGCCAAAATGAATTGATTTGTAAATTTGCAGAACCATGAATAGCTCCGTAGGTGCTTGTGCCTCAAAGGAAACCCCGTTTTTGTGTTTTTTTTTTCCTGAAGCTTGGAGGTAAAGATTGCATGCACCCAATAGCTGCCTGCTTCTGTGGAAGAAAGCCACCAGGAAGAATATGTGGAGAGTTTAAGGAATGATGCCTTTCTAGACAAAAAGAAAAACAGCGCCAGGTTGAGAGCTTTGTCCTAGTGAGAAGCAGCCCCCAGTGCAACACTTGATATGGCACCAATTAAAAGTTCAGTTCTGGGTACCAAAACCAAAAAACCCATTACTGTCAAGTTGGAACTGACTCATAGCAATGCTACAGGACAGAGTAGAACTGTCCCATAGGGTTTCCAAGACTGTAATGTTTATGGAAGCAGACTGCCACACCTTTGGAGCACCTGGTGGGTTTTGAATCACTGGTGATCTTTCAGTTAGCAGCTAAGCACTTAACTACTACACCACCAGGGCTTTTCTCAGTTCAGGATGTAAGTACCCTTAACGGCCCAAATATCTCTCATATGACAGTATTGGTACACTCTGTGTGCTCTGCAGGAGCCCTTTCAGGGAGGACGGGTCTTTGCCTGCCCTAAATCTGTGTCCTTGTAACTCTTACTGTGCCACTTGGTCTCCTTTTAGGTGGGGAAATTATTATTCTCAGCCATCATCTAAGTATTAGTGTTCTCTCACCTATAACTGTATTTCTCTAGGACCCTTTAGCCCCAAGAGATTTCCCTGGATTTTGGAACCAGAAGAGAAGAAGCTGGAATTAAATTGAGTTTATTCTTCAGACCCTAAGCCTGGTGGTTATGGATTATATCTTTTTTACTGTTAGTATGATACACATTAAACTTTCAAATATTCTGTGTACTCTAACACAAAATTTTAATGAATTCTTGATTTGGATTTTTTTTCCTATTTAATGATTTTTGCCCATCTTTCATTGTATGTACCTTCTCCCCTTCGTATTCTAGTGAAGTGACTTGCCTAGGTTTACTGGTGGACCTTAACTTACCCTCACATTACCTCTTTTCTGTTCTCCTCTACCACTCTACAGTCCATGCTACTATTGACATGTCCTCATTACCATGACATTCTTTCCTTCCTGCTTCTCCAGGCCCCATAAGGCTTTTTTTTTTCCCACCCTCTACCAGCACTCAAGGAGCTCTGGTAGCATAGTGCCTAAGGCACTTGACTGCTAACCAGAAGGCTGGCGGTTCAAACCCACCAGCCACTCCTCGGAAGGAAGGTTGGGCATTCCTACTTCCGTAGTGATACTGCCTCGGAAACCCAAGGAGGGGTCGCTATGAGTCGGGGCCGATTCGATGGCAAATAACAACAACAACAAACCAGCACTCACAGCAGGCTCATTCAGCTTGCTCCTCCCTTTGGAGCTCCTGCTTTACAGTCTAGCCATCAGTTCTGGACAGCAAAGTAAGTACTAATCTCCAACCTAGACTTTTCCACCCCTACCTCTGAGCTCTGTAGCACATCCGCCTGGATGTCCACCATGTATAGAACCAGATTTTCTTCCTCTCGACTACTCCAAACTCCCCCATGGATGTCCTCTATCTCCTGGTCACCCAGGCTCAAAGATTCAGAATAATTCATTGTTCATTTCTCCATAATGAAGGAGTTATCTGATCATGTTGATTCTAGCTGACTAGATTGGAGAGGTTGAAGAATGATGAACAGAGGGAAAATTAGACATGGAAAGTGTATACCAGGTGAGGCTGAGATGGGGGGAGAAGAGACAGTGGCTGAGAAGAACAGATTGAGGGAGGGTTCTGAGGGTAAAAGAGATGGAAGAATGTTGTTAAATATGGATAGACGGGGTAGGATCTGTTAGAGAAGGAGAGTTTGAAGAGTGAAAAGAGCATTGCTGGGTTTTTCAGAAGGTAGAATTAATCAGCATGGTATTGTAGTAGTAGTATTTCATTAAATGCTTTTTCAGTTGAAAATACTCTAGGGTGTAAATCCTTTAGGGGGGGCATTTTAACAATTTCATTCAAAAGGTGTATAACCTTTGGCTGGTTTCTAGGGATTTATCCTGTAGATTTGCCAGCAGTGGGATGGTACAGGTCAGGTTATGCATGGCAGCATTGTTTCTAATATCAGAAGATAAATGGATGATATTGTGTATTCCAGTGTGTATTGGTAAGATGAGTTACAGTCTATCTACACAGTGAACTGCATTGAAAAAGAATAAGGAAACTATATCCTGATAGAGAAAGATTGCCAACATACAGTCAAAGGAATTAAAAAGCAAGATAAAACACTAGATCTGGTATGCTGCATTTCTTTAAAGGGCAAAAATGTAACACACTACGATGGAGTTGAATCCGACTCATAGCGACCCCTCCTTCGGTTTCCAAGGCAGTGTCACTAAGGAAGTAGATTGCCCAACCTACCTAATGAGGAGCGGCTGATGGGTTTGAACTGCCAGCCTTCTGGTTAGCAGTCAAAAATGCCTTAGGTACTACACCACCAGAGCTCCCTATTTAAAGGGGTGGGGGGGGGGAATATACATTCTCATTTCTTGTATATAAATAAACTCTGGAAAGATGGATAAGAAACCAACCCCAGTGGCTGACTAGAGGGTAGAGGGAGAACTTCTACAATCTTTTTTTTTGGGGGGGGGGGTGTTAATAAAAACTCCAAAGATTAAGATGCATAGTATTCTTTGTACCAACTAAGTGAAAGTCAAAGTCAGGTTTGTTCTGCCAAGAAGCTTATTTGGCTTCCTTAAAATTGCTACTCAGGAGTCCTTTCTGGTGGCTTTGGTTTATCTTCTTTCGTTTGGAGGAAATAATTTTGATTCCCAATTCTTCATGATCTTCCCCTTAGAGAACTTCCAGCATTACTAATTTTATTAGCAAAGTCTGATCTTATTTATTTATTTATTTCATTTCTCTCCCTTTTTTGTCTATCCACAGATTGTATTCATTACCAGGTTAAATGATAGCTACATGGCTCATGTGTAGGAGGATAATTATTTGTCTTGAATTCTTAACCCTGACATATGTTGAGAATCCTACTAAAATATTAAAATTAAACCCTTCACTTTATTATAATAAATACTAAGTTCAAGAGACCACATCTTAAGATTGTCTTGAAAAACCATGTTGGTATTGAGGAGTGTAAGAGCAAATGAGCAGAAATTCTGTGCGGTGGGAGAAAGGATAACTGTCTTCAGATATTTCAAGAGCTGTTTTAAAAAGCAGTAGACCTAAGACTACAGAATGGACCTTCTAAATAATCACATCCCAGGGCAGCATGGAAAAGAACTGTAAAGTTTTAGAGTGTCCCACAAGAAGTTGTTGCTTAGAAGTGGTTCCTCATCACCACTCCATGTACAGTAGAGACAGGGCGATGGCATCGGGTATGTTCATACACATCTACCTTGTGTTTGGAGTCCCTGGTGATACAGTTAACTTGCTCAGCAACTACTGAAAGGTTGGAGGTTCAAGTCCTCCCAAATGTACCTTTGAAGAAAGGCCTAGCAATCTACTTTTGAAAAATTAGCTATTGAGAACCCTTTGGGGCACATATGGGGTTACCATGAGTTGAAATCAACTCCGCAGCAACTGGTTTACCTTGAATTTAGAAAAAAGAATTTGACTAGATGGTAGATGAGTCAACTTTAATATTTTCTTGAAAAGTTTAGTTAGTTGTTTCAACTTTTCAAGCCTAAAATAGACACACTGCATGGGGCCCATTTTTTTTTAATTACGTCCTTCAGAAGTCTGAACTTTCATAGCTACTTTGTAGTAAATACCTTCCCATCTTTACTTTTTAGGCAAAATAAGAGGGTGCTTTCATTGTCAGACTCTGAAGAAAAAAAAGACCTTTAAAAATAAACACTTTAAAGGTTCTAATTTTTAATGTTCTTGCATTACTACATTAAGTCTTGGGTTTTTAATGGGCATTTTTACGTAACTCAAAGAGGACATTGGGGAGTGAATTGGTGGTAGGACATCACAGACCACTGTGATTTCAAACTCTTGGCAGGTACATCTCCGTTTATGGATGCATTAACAGCCAGTGGAACAACCAACATACAGACATCTGTTACAGGAGTGACAGCCGGGAAAAGGAAATTTATTGACGACAGAAGAGACCAGCCTTTTGACAAGCGGTTGCGTTTCAGTGTGAGGCAAACAGAAAGTGCCTACAGATACAGAGATATTGTCGTCAGGAAGCAGGATGGTTTCACCCACATCTTATTATCAACAAAATCATCAGAGAATAATTCACTAAATCCAGAGGTGAGATACCATTCTTTGGGGTGGTTTGTGTTAATACTTGTCTAGGCCCTGGTTGTCCAGGGTTAGCTTGTGTGCTGCTTGACTGAGTTAGCACTCTTCCTTGTGTTCTTTCTAAATCTCCTGGGCTCGTTCAACCTGTTTGCCAGAAGGCAGCAAACAGAGGTGACATTTGTGAGGTGTGTGACCATGGTGAGGTTGGGACAGTGTGCCATCTTCATCGTCATGGATCATTGTGGTCCCACTTCTGGGCTGAGAAGGGAATGGTGGTTTGTCTTTGCCCTCTTTCACCTCCCAAGCAAGCCAGGCGTTCTCAGTCTGGAAGGCGTGGGGGAGCCTCCCCAAATCATATGGTGTGTGCATGCATGTGCTTTTTCTGTAGCTTCATCAGATTCTTGATGGATTCTTTGTTCAGGCAGATGACAATGCCCTGGGCCCTGGCCCCTTCAGCATCATACTTCATCAAGATCCTAGTCTTCAGATACTCTTCAGCCTTGTAACAGAGCATAGAGCTACAGTGACTTCACACGTGGTCATGCCTGTATAAGCTCCAGGGACTGATTTTGGGGGAAGAGGGGAGCCAATGTGGGAAGGTTTGGAAACTAATTCTATGGAATATTTGCAATCCGATTTGAACCTGTACTGACTATGCTTTACCAAAATTTTAAGTTCTAGTAATTGTTTACTTTCTACTTGTGGGTAGCTAGGTGACCTGTTTTCCAGACAAGAAACTAAACTGCAGAAAGTCTGTGTGTCTGGGCAGGGTCACATTAACTAAACAGGCTCAGGGCTGGTCCCCAGTACATTTTTGGACTCCACAGTCCCTCTGCCTTCCTGCTGGGCTGGTTATTTTTAAATACTTAATAGAAATCATTTTAAAATGGTTCTGTGCCCCTCTAAAACTACCCTTCCATGTTGACATGCTTGTATTTAATGCATTCATCCACTAAATTATTTTGGTTTCTGCCCTAAGTGTAGTAAGCTAGTTTAAAAAAAGAAGAAGAAAAGAAAAAATGGGAACTAAACTAGTTACTTTGAACTGGTTGAATGTGCCACCTGCTGTCCAAACTGTAGAAATGTCAAGTGAATATAACAAGTAACTTATTATCTATTGAGGACCTCAAGGATTATTGAATTTTAAAGGTAACTTAGAGTCAAGTGTCTTTCTAATTATACTCTATAACAAGTTATGTAATTTGTACTCTGCCCATTGGCATTCCCAGTCTTTGGTTACAGAAAATAAGAAATTTGTAAATGATTTAAAGTCACCATAGAGAGAGAGGACAGTATCACTTGGTAAAAATACGTTTTCCATGGATCCTGATTATCCAATAATAAAATCCTTTTAGATTCTGAATCAAAAGTATTCTTTACCATTTTAACTTCTGGTGGCTTTCAGGTGATGAAGGAGGTCCAGAGTGCACTAAACACAGCTGCTGCTGACGACAGCAAGCTGGTGCTGCTCAGTGCCGTGGGCAGTGTCTTCTGTTGCGGTCTCGACTTTATTTATTTTATACGGCGCTTAACAGATGATAGAAAAAGAGAAAGCACTAAGATGGCAGAAGCTATCAGGTATGTAAAAATGGTGTTGATTTGGGGGTCTTGCTTTCATGTTCCCAGGTAGAATAGGCCCAACAAACTTTGTGAATAAAATGTCCATCTTCCACCGAAAGACAGACCTAATAGCAAGATTAATTAAATCATCTATCTTTTCCATGGACCTAGCATAAATTGCTACTTGCCTTGGGCTAATAATGGATTTCGTCGCAGAACCCGGGGAGGACTCAGTGAATGTTCTAACTATTATAGTACACGATAATGTATAGCCAGAGATTCTATTATCTCTGCTATGCATTTATTTTGTCTTCAACCCTTAAATGAAGGTCTTTATTTTTTTTTTCAAATAACCACTTAATATTTGCATGACTCAAATAAATTGGCTAGTCTTTGTGACAAGCTAGTTCTATAATAAAATATGAAAAAAAATTTTTAATATACATAGTACACATTGTTTTTCAAGTTCATCTTAAGTTCCAACTACACAGAAAGCCAGATGATAGAGTAGAAAGCAAAGATTCCCCTTCTCTTCACCCCCACAGGTATCCACTGTTAAGCTGTATATCCCCCCCCCAGCCTTTTTCTAAACATTTTCATATAGATATGTGTCTATACAAATTATATAGGTTTCTTTTTAGTTTTGTTAATAAATGCAGTTATACTGTTACTTCAAAATTTGCTTTTTTTCATATGACATTATGACTTTGAAACATTTTCCTTTTCTTTCTTGTTAGATTTACCACTGCTCTATCATAATGGACCAAAAAGGTTTCCCAAGAACCACTTAACTCTGCTATAAGCATATCCAGATATATATTTAGTTCATGTCCCTCAGGACCATGCACATTACTATGCATGTAGTTAAAAGTATCTAACTTTTCAGAGGTGAATTTCATTTAAAGTGAATGAAACCCAGTCACCAATCAGAAAGATTATTTCTTTCTTTCTACTCACCTCCCTAAATGATGTATTAGGACCCCTCAGACTCCTCTGTGTTTGTTTTTATAATTTCTAGAGATGTAATTTAAGAAGAAGCAGACTTGCAAAATGGCAATAAAATCAGTTGGATCTTCTCCAACATCTCCAGGTATTTGGAGAATTAAAATTGAGCTTCTTTGGTAGTTAATGGGGTTTGCCTAGCTAAGCCCTAAGCATAACTGACACTGGGAGTCATCTTCACCATTCCAGGGGTGCACAGTAGGGTGGGTAAGGGTTCTTTTTCCTGTTTTGGTGGGTCTGAGTGAGGCAGGCATCTCTCCTGACAGATTTCCCATGATGGTTCTGACAGCATTGCCCTAAAACCCCCAGATCTAAGAATTATGGGCCTTTAGCCTTTCATAACAGTTTCCATTGTTTGCAAAATTAATATATTTTCTCATACTGTATACACATACATTTAGTAGGTTATCTATTTTTTAGTCCCTTTAGGCATCATTATTTTTTAGGCTATCATATGATGGTTGTTTTGTTTTTTCCATAAATTGTTTGTAATTTAATTACCTGATTTTTATTAAGTATTATTTCCAGTTTCCTAAGTAATTTCAAATTTGTGATGGACTCCCTGGATGGGAACATTTTGTTATTTGAAACTAAATTGCTTGATCGGTGCACTAATCCTATGAAAGATTGACTATACCTCTAAGACAGCTTGTAGACATTCCTAATTATCGACTCATTCCATCCTTTCGGTATGAATTACGTTAATTTTCATTTCTCAAACACAAGCCATCTTAACCATTTTGCTTCATATAGTGACTGTGTATGTTTTCTATTTTCTCTCACTTGATGTGTACATGAAACTGCACTTTTTGGTAACTTTGCTACAATAAGAAAATAGGATTTGTCAGCCACTGCCTTCTAAGGTCTGGTTCAGCTTTCCCTTACTGACTTCCCACAGTTAGGTGCCAGTTCTCACTCATTCTCAGCCCTGGTTCTGCCTACTCCTGCAGTGTTGACTTGCCCTTGGCAGTGGGTAAGGCTTTATGGTTGGGGCTAGAAAAAACAGAGCAAAGATAAACCAAGAGAGATTTGAATAGAGATATCATTTGTTAAACTCTTAGGTAACTTCAAATGTTATTGTCACCAGCTCCCCATTCCCATCCTTCTCCCCTTGTCCCACTGCAAAATGCTGAATTGGAATTCTAGGAAAAAGCCAAGTTTAGGAAAACCCAGTTGCTGCTGCTTTAAATGAGTATATCTCTGTCAATGTGATTTTTTTTTTAAAGAAAAATACATACTCTGGCAGGATCAGAAAAATAATTAGTTACACTGGATTCACTTAACCTTTACTTGTGTACATTTGCATTTAAATTAATTTTTACATGTATAAAATTGGCTTTTATACATAAAGCTCTTTATATATTTGTGTATGTATGTGTGTGTGTGTATATATATACATATATATATATATAGTTTCTGTGGTATCTTAACATATTCTAGTCTTGTTTCAAATTTCTTAAAACTTTGAGGCAAAGAACTTTACTCCAGTAAGTTTCCTCAAGTATAGCAGGGAAAATGAAGATTAAAGATTAAGTTGTCTGATAACGAGTGTAATTAACTATTATTGGAATTAGTGCAAACTGCAAAAGTAACCAGTGTGCAGACTACCTAGTTGTAATAAAATACTTGACATATTAGTGATTAAAAACAAAATTACTGCAGATCAGTTTAAAATACCACACTTATGACGTCTGTAGGTACCAATAGCTGCTGCATTGTGTCTGGAGGATGAGAACCTCCTCTTCCTGAGTAAGATGTCTTCTACCCTGATGGAATGAGACAAGGGGCCCCTGACAAGCAGTCCCCTGAAACAGGCTATAGGATTTGGGGAGAGAAGAGCGAGGGTGTAGATGTACAGCTAGAACTTGACCTCTCTTCCAGTCGGTCCTATTCTGTACATTCAAAAAGAGGAGTTGAAAAATGTCTTTGGACCAACTCTTAGAACTTTAGGTACTTGTTCCCTGATTTCTCCCAAACAATTCCAACACTGTTGACCTTATGCAATTTTTATATTGTTTAATTATAATTATTTTTAACTAATCTTGTGTAAAATGTAGTCTTTATCCTTCCCTGCCATACCCCACAGCCTTTAACACCCTGTTGCACTGTGCCCGTTTGAACTTGGCAGGTATTTTTATTGTGTTTTAAAATACACTTTCTGTATGAACAGTGAACAGGCCCTCCTTGAGTGCTGTGGCCTCCATTCCCACCTCCCCACCTGCTAGCTGGGTGGCTTTGACCAGGCCTCCAGGGCCCAGGGAAGTTTCAGCTAAACAGTAGAGCGTTTCCATGAAGATGTTTGGTTGTTTTTGTTTTTAAACTAGAGTTAATTTCTTTGGGGACCATGTTCATTTATGGCATCAGCTCACACATGAGAATTGCCGAGTTGTGTCCTCTGAAAAGGGAAGATGGCTTCTCTCCAGTATGGTTAGTTAGCTCATACCCTTCTCAGCTGTGCTCCCCAGTTTTAGATGTAGTTTTTGTCCAAATTCAGTATGTAGAAGTAGATGTGCAATCTCTCTTCATTCTGGCAAAAATTAAAATTGATTTTTTTGGGGGAAATTTTTAATTCCAAGAAATTTTCTCCAGCCTGTTAAAATCCAAGTTCTACCTTTACAGTACCTATTCTAAAAGCAGAGGTTTTTTTTATTTTATTTTATACAAACATAACACTTGGGAGGGGGAGAGCATTACGAGAAATATTTATTTGTAAGTATCTTTATAGAATCATTTTATTATTACACTGAGTTTGATAATTTTATGTTAACCTACCACCCCATCAATTGTTTCCAGATGTTTTTAGCACTGGGACAGTTGATATTTTGCACTCTGTTTCTATGAGACAGATTAAAGTGTAGCTGCTCCAGGGCCCCTAGGGGACTGAATTGGAAAACATCTGCTCTATGTCATAGAGACTATTTCAGCAGTTACCTTGCTCGTCAAGAGTAGTCAGTAAAGGAGACAGGAAATGTTTTCCATCATGTGTCATTGCCCTAGCATCTTCAAAAGGCAGCAGAATTGAAGTAGCTTAATGTAGGTTGTCTGCACTTATTTCAAGAGTCTATTTAAAAGGTTGTCTGTCTCTCTTTGTATCATTAAAACCTAGTGTGATCTTTCTAACAATGCCTCAGGCTCTCTCATTTAGAAAGTCTTCATGCAACTCATTCATTTGAATGACTTAATTCTCCTTCAGAGGAAAGATCCTATACACCTTATGGGAGGGAGTGTAGGAAGCCTTTGAGAATGTGGCTGGAGTTGAGTTTGTAGGCTTCTAAGCCACACACCCCTTCTCTCTCACACACACCCCTACCTCCACACCTCTCTAATCTGCCCCTCTGTAAAAAAAAAAAAAAAGTGAAGGCAGAATACCACTCTGTTGTTAATGGTGATTCGGGGGACTAAGATGCCAAGTGATGGCTTTCAGAGAAGATCAAACCTGATTGGTCTACTTACAAACTACTGGATTTAAAGCACATCTAAGCTGTCATTTTCAGTACTGAAGATGGGGGTCAGGTTCAGAATCCCATGTGTGACAAGCTCTGGTTAGTCTCTTACACTGAGCTAGAATTCAGATTGTGTTTATTTTACTGTGTGTTGTCCTCTTCTGCACTGTGTTAAAGCATAACAAAAAAACAACCACTGAACATAAAATCTGATTTTGGTGGTGGAAAGAAGATACATATTCCCAACCTACCCAAAATCGAAAAGCAGCTTGCTTTTCCAGTCTAATCCTGAGACATCCAAAAATAGCGTTGGCTTGGTTGTAAATGTCCACATCCTCTGTGAAGGCAGCCCTCCCTTCATCCCCTTTCCTTTGAGCTCCCATACCACGCATGGGAGCAGGTCATGTTGTGTAGACACACATCTTGGTTGTTGACCTTGGGTCTTTACTAGCCTTGTGGGTCACTTGGCCTCCACATCCCCCATATTACTAGGTATGTTGTTGTTGTTGTTTGCCGTCGAATCGGCCCCGACTCATAGCGACCCCTCCTTGGGTTTCCAAGGCAGTATCACTACGGAAGTAGGATTGCCCTATAGCTCATTATAAACTCTGGAAAGATCTGTGGTTTCAGAAATATCAGTGAGCTCTCTGAGATCACACAGCAAGCTTAGGCCCATGGTTTCTGACCCCTGGTCCACTGTTCTTCTCAGTATGCCTTGGGCCACATTTTGTCTGGAATAGCTTCTTAGTTTGTCATAGGAAACCCAGAATGTTTTTGGGGCCTCTCATATCTTGGAGGAAATAATGAGGAGCGAGACGTACTGGTCTTAGAGTCCAAAAGCCAGACTGCAAATACAAAAACAGCTTTGGGCTATGATTTAATTCTAATCTTCACATTTCGTATATAGATAGTTAAGCCACAGCCAATTCCTACATGGGATGTGGTGTACAGATAATCATTAAGCCTTCACAACATGCAGAAAATAAATCCATAGTCCACAGTTCCCAGGAGAAGGTCTTAAATGAACCTCAACTCTAGTGATTTCTAGAGTTTGCATCTTAGTAAATTGAATTATAAAATGGTAGACTTTTCTACTGCTCAAATATGCAATGTTTTGAGTAATTCCTCATATATGCTTCATTTTAGAAACTTCGTGAATACTTTTATTCAGTTTAAGAAGCCTATCATTGTAGCAGTAAATGGCCCAGCCATTGGACTAGGAGCATCTATATTGCCTCTTTGTGATGTGGTCTGGGCTAACGAGAAAGCCTGGTTTCAAACACCTTATACCACCTTCGGACAGAGTCCAGATGGCTGTTCTACCGTTATGTTTCCCAAGATTATGGGAGGAGCATCTGTGAGTACTTTTTTAAAAAACGCATTCTGGAAACCTTCCTGAAGAAATCTAACTGGGTTTTTATTTTCCTAAATATATGTAAAGTGTCATTCTGTGAGAACTTTCCATCAAATGCATTTATGCTTAATTTTTGTTCATTAACTTCTGTTTTTAATTTATTAAACCAGAGACCTTTTTCCTGTTTTGATTCATATACTGTGTATCAACACAGTTTTGCATCATTTCCTAGAGAAGGACCTTATTCAGTGAGAAGTACATTATCTTTTGATAACTAACACTGATATTTGATACTATTAAATCCAGACAAACACAGTTTGCAATGGAAAGATTCTTTACCTGGCAGTCTAAAAGCTTTCTTTTAAGAGAAAGGAATGAGGGAGCAAAGTAGCTTAAGAGGGTTTTTTCCTGCATAGTTTTGGGGTTTTATTTTTAACTCTTTAATCCATCCATAATGATAGTTTGTGTTTGTGCTGTAGCTTGTGATTTGTCAACCAGTTACACGTATCTTATTCCTGATTCCTTGAAATAGGGGAAGTGGTAAGGTCAGGGTTGGATTCCTCAGAAACACTCTTAAGTTTGGCATGTAGGGAAATTATTAGGTAATCAGGCACCTGTTGAAAGGAAGGAGAAGGATCTAGGACTAGAGGGAGGGAGATATGACACTGTGATGCAGGTCTGACAGATCCAATAGCCCTGTGGGTAGCTCTGGAACATAACAGCCCCAGTTGTCCTGTGGGGGGCGAGGATGGCCAGGCTTTTATGTCTACCAGCCTTTGGATGTGGGCTGCCCCAGAAGGGTGCGTGCCCTTAGACAAGGAGGCACTCTGCAGCTGAGGTGAACCCTGAAACGACTGACAGTTCGTGGCTATCTGACACATTCCCAGCAGCTGGGCAGCAAGCCTTCCTTGAAGGTGGTCTGGGAAGCACACCTCTGTGACCACCACAGTCCATCCCTTGTACCATTAGATCCACCTCTTCACAGCCTTTTGGGGAGCAGCTCCCAGGACTCTAATGGGCTGGCCTCTCTTCCTCAGGGAAGACCTAGAAGATTAACTAGCAATTGTTAAAGGCAAGAACCATTAGTGGGCACTAAAATTGAAGGTGAAAGTATGATGAGAAAAGGGATATTTGCATCCTCTCTTTACAAAAGAGAAGATAATAACTTCACAGTGGAGAAACCTAACATGTCACTTACTGAATGATCATTGTTAACCAGAAATAAGACTTTTGACCTCTGGTATGCTTTAATATGACATACACAGAAGGACACAGTGCCACTCCTGCACGATTCATACCAAAAATGCATCGCCTCAGCCTAACTACAAGAAAACAAGCAAAACCAAATAGAACATTCTACAAAACAGCTGGACCAGTCTTCTTCTAAAGTATCAAGTCATGAAACACAAAAGGAAAGACAGGGAAACAGTCACAGATTAGAGGAGGCCAAGGAGACATGACAGCTGAATGCAGTGTAGGGCACTGCTCCAGAAAAAGAACATTAGTGGGAAAACTGGAGAACTTTGACTAAGTTAATTTTGTATTATGTCAGTGTTAATGTTCTGGTTTTGATCATTGTAAGATATTAACATTAGGAAGAGTTGATTTAAGGTTATATGGGAACTCTTTGTACTAATATAATTTTTCTCTAAATCTAAACTTACTCAAAAAACAAAGTTTAAAATGTGAAAGAAGAGGAGTAGGAAGGTCAGTAGGACCAGCAACAGCCCCCACTGGTCTCATGGCTACATGTGATTTCATTATCACCCTTCCCCGTTATGGATACATACATAAACACACACACACAGCCACCACTTCTGCTGACTCACTGGTGTGACTCTTGCCCTGGACAGGTCTGAGCCCCTGATCACCATGCCCTTCTCAGGAGGGAATTGCTTATACTTGTCCACTTTACAAAGGAGTACCACTAGGCCTCATGTAGCTTCCTAGGTTCCTGTCCTACCCTGTTATATAACAGTGGCTCTGCCTCTTCCTGATTAGCAAGGTCAGATAACCCTGTTTGAATGAAATTCCTTGACTGCCAGCCCCAGATACAGAGAGCAGCAAGAGTGCAGGCAGTGGCCATAGCTTTACGTTCAGGGAAACTTCAGGCTATGTCTGCTAGCAAACATATGTCCCCTCTGGGGCCCAGCAGAGCCTGGAGTTGAAAGGACAGAAGACACAACATCCCTCAGCAGATCATCAGGAGTGATGGGAAGGGGGCCACTCCGACTTCTTTCCCCTTTACTGCATGCCACATCTTCCTCCTGGGGACACGGGACTAGATGTAAGCCTCTGATTTAGTGTATGTCCCATGAAGTGGAAGATGGCAGCCTTCCCCTTAGAGCCACCTCCAGACTGTCTTCACCTGTACCACCAGCCGCCAGGCTAGTAGCTTCCAAATGGCAACTTAAGCCAACAGTCCCACAAGGTCCTGGGCCCACTCCGCATCCCTTTGCTGTGAAGTAGGTCTCTGGTCTAACACAGTGTTGGTGATGTCCTCTGCTAGTGGAGTACATGTTCTTAGCTCAGAGAGTGACTGGGTGTTGACTGAAGCCCTGAAGAGGAAAGCAGCCCATGCCCGGAATGAGTGTCCAGTCATGTTAAATCAGTTTTCACCAAGTGGCCATTTGATTGGTGGCCTGAAGAATGTTGCCCTGAGAGGGCTTAGCATTGGGGCATCTGGCTGGCAGATTGGACACTCAGCAGCCACAGTAGCTAAATGACCTTCAGTGAGTAGAGGCCATGCTGGCAGGCTCACACAGCTCACGCCAAGGCCTTCCAACTCATGTGTCCACATGCTAGCACTAGTGTGGCCAGTGATCAACACTGGCTGACATTACTGTCTTCTTTAGTTGCTTAGTCCCTCATCTATGATACGGGCTCCCTGAGGGCATTAACATGAGATGCCACAATTTCCACACTTCTCCATAGATCCACCACATTGCTCTGTGCCAGACCTCCTTGCCCCCGGTTTTTCAGTCCTTCTCTTTCAGACCCCTGACATTGGCCTGGCCATTCACTATAACCCATAGGTTAGTATATATTCTAACGTTGATCTTCCTACACTAACTGGCCAACCAGACACATCATCCGTTCAGAGGGGCCCTTGTACTGCTGGCCAAGGATCAGCAAAGTTGCCATCCCTGTTTCTGTGCCAGCCTCAGTCATAGAAGTCCCCATGTATTCATAGGTATGAACTGAGCAAGGGGCACTGGTACAGTTGTGGTAAGTAACATGGGGGTCTGGGCTACATACTCATATAGGTAGGTAGGAGTGTGTGTGTATGTGTGTGTGTGTGTTGGTGCCAGATCCCAGACATACCATGTGTTCCTCACAATGGCTACTGCTGGAACTGCCCAACTCTGGGACTGGGATATCCGAGGGACATTTCTCATGCATGGTCATCTGGTATCCCACAGTCAGGTGCTGTCTCTACCAAGACCAATGAGTACTCCAGGAGTTGTTGTTAAAGGCCTATGATTCTCTGTGGGACTAGACTAGCCTGGCTTTGTTTTAGAACCCCAGGGCCCTGTGCCATGATCCTCCCCCTGATGCTGGCCATAAGCTCCATAAGCTGTCTTTACCCACTCTGCCCATGCTCTTCACTGTCACCCTCAATTAGCATGGCACCACATTCCCTTGCTTCTAGGAGTCACCCTAGTAGTGAGGTCACAACTTCCCCAAACAGACTTGCCAGGGTGTTTAGTCTTATCTATCACAAAAGCCCCAAGTCAATGAACTCTCCTGTTCAGTTTTGTAGTCTGGCCCTATTGACCAAGCATGTTGAAAACTCAGTTGCAATGCATGCTCCCAATTCTCACCAGCTTATTCTGGGTGGTGCCTCTCTGTATGGGTCTATATGGGACAGATGAAGACATGGAAGGCATGCCTATGCCATTTGTCTTACTCCTTGTGCTGTGCTGCCCCTGTGTGGAACTCTCCTAATAGGCACTGCCAAGTTCCCATGGAAAAGAGTCATTACTTTCTACACAGCCGGGTTATGCTGTATACGGGAGTTATTACCATTGAGGAGATTAAAAGGGTAGAAAGCATGACCTCACAACATCGTATGGTCTAAGGAGATGGACAGTATTGATGCTGGTCTGGGGAAAAATTAAACAATATCTATACACGTTGTGGGTGAGGCAATTTGGAGGTGGTGCCTTTAGACCAAATGTTCTAAGGAATGGAGGTCTTAGAGTTCACTTTAACTCAGAAAGATCCTTAACAGCTTGAGGTCATTAAAAAGTTCCCACTGGACACATCTTAAAAAGCTATCACTTCTAGTGTCTTCTTTGTGATCTGGTACCACTAGAGCCTTGGTCCCCAAGCAGGGTGGTTTTGCCTCTCCCTCAAGGAACAGTTAGCAATGTTTGGAGACTTTGGTTGTCACAACTAAGGACATACTAGTGGGTAGAGGACTGGGATGCTGCTCAAAATGTGACAACACAATATCTGACTCCACAACTAAGAGTGATGGGCCCAAAGTGTCAGTGCCCAGGTTGTGAGACCCTGCCCTGCAGTTAAGAGCCTGAAGTTCACAGTGTAAACTCTAGTTTTTGAGCAGAGTATTTCTCTTTCTGTATAGAGAGTGAATAGATGTTGAGTTGAGTTGTATTGTGACCGTTCTTGTTAAAGTGACTGCATAAGTGATGTAGCTTCTTCCGTGAGCTTTTAGCTTTCAGTAGACTGAGGCAAGATAGGGGCAAGTTGGTTTCCCCAGGTGACAGACATGTGGTGAACTGTGCAAGGAGGATACCTTAAAGGGATCCTATTATCAGGCCAGCCACTCCTCGGAAGGAAGGTTGGGCAATCTACTTCCATAGTGATACTGCCTTGGAAACCCAAGGAGGGGTCGCTATGAGTCGGGTCCAACTCAACGGCACATAACAACAACAACATTATCGGCTACAGTGCCTAGGTAGTGCAAACCATTAATGTGTTTGGTTGTTAACCAAAAGATTGGAAGTTTAAGTCCACCCAGAGGTTCCTTGGAAGCAAGTCCTGGTGATCTACTTTGGAAAGATCAACCATTGAAAGCCCTATGGAGCACACACAGTTCCACTCTGACACATAAAGGGTCACCATGAGTCTGGGTCAACTTGACAGAAACTGGATCTTTTTCATGATGATGATGATGATTGGGGAAGAAAAACAACATGCAGGTAAAATAAGCTGTTAGCTGTCTCTTTTTTGCAGTATCTCCTGTAGGAGATAGGAAAGCTTTGGAGCTCTGCTGCAGTCACAAGCTATGCAAATTCACTTACAATCCATGTTCCTCTGCAGATATCCTTTGACTTACAGTTTCCACAGTAAACAGTCATGAAGTACATACTGTGGTTGGCACCTTGAACCAGCTGGTGGAGAACACACAAAGTCACTTAGTGTTACTGCATGAGCTCTGTAGCTCCCAGATCCCTGCATGAGTGCATGCAAGGTCAAAGGCCACCCGCAAATGGCTGGTGTACCAGTTCTGAGCTCACAGAGAAGTACCCTTTGGAAGCTGGGGACAGCCGGTCAGAGGGCACGACTAGGAGACCCATCTTGGCCACGGCATGTCCTTACCACCTTTCTTCATGCCATATTTTTGGCTGGATAAAAAGAGGTCTCTGTTTCTCTTTGCCCTTCGGCATTTCACATTTGTCCAGGTTGTTATGCAATAGCTTTTTAAATAGTTTGGCAGTTTTGACCAAATTAGGTATTTAATGACTATTGTTTAAACCAATTCAGGGCCTGTGCTTAAATGAGAAAGCATTAGAAACCCTGAGTAGGTTCCATCATTTACACTGTTTAGTGAATTCAGAAATTCCCTTAATTGTCCTGCACATCTGAACATCTAAAATAGGGAGATGCTTAAGGAGGGAAGACTCCTCTGAGGTCAGCAAGTGTGCAGTGAGTCCACCTCTGAATGGACTGGCCACAATGATTCATCCAGATGGAGGGTTATTTGGTTTGGCTATGGTGCTGTCAACTCCCAGCATGACTGGTACTAGATCTGAAAAAATCAATCAAAGGTAATGAAGGAGAAAGAGAAGCAAAAGAAGAGAAATTAAAGTAGAGAATTAAATTGCCCTCCAAACCAGAACACCAAACCTGTTGCCATCAAGTCAGTTCCTGCTCATGGTGAACCCACGTGCATAAAGTAGAACTGCTCCATGAGATGTCCAATTCTCTGACCTTTTGGAAACAGATCACCAGGACTTTCTTCTGTGGTTGCCACTGCGGGAGTTCGAATTATCAGCCTCCAGGTTAATAGTTGAGCACAAACCATTTGTACCACCCAGGCATCTAAATTGACCTCCAGATGGTGAAAAATAGCAAACCAAGAACAGAGAGAATCCATAGGAGGACATAGAAAAGAAACATCTAAATGATGGTTAAGGGGAAGGGGGTTGTCGTTTACATCCACTACCTTTTACAAAGGAGAGGACATTGGTGGTTCAGTGGTAGAATCTCACCTTCCATACAAGAGTCTCAGGTTCAATTCCAGGCCAGTGCACCTCATGCACAAACACTATCCGTCTGTCAGTGAAAGCTTCTATGTTGCTTTGGCATTGAACAGGTTTCAAGTAGAGCTTCTAGACCAAGACAGACTAGAAAGAAATGCCTGGCAATCTACTTTCAAAAATCAGCCATTGGAAACCCCCTGGCTCACAGTGGTCCAATCCCACTGTGCCTGGGGTAACCATGAGTCAGGGGCCAACTTGATGGCAGCTAGTAGCCACAACCATTACAAAGAGTGTGGCTCACGTTGGGCTCTAGAACATGCTTCATGCTTAACATAAATGAGTTATTTGTGATGTTGTCTTTACTGTGTGTTGAAAGTGAGAGAAATGTAAGCTGGGAAACAAAGTTATCACCGTAGAGCACTTACACTAAATCACTGCATCAGAAACTCCTGTTACGTCGTCCTTTTGCATTGCATTTGAGTCTGCCTTTAGAAGAACTAGCTAGAACTTAAGATGAAGTCAGATCTCTAAATCTGTTGTTTATTTATAGACCCTCCTTTTCTCTGAGAAGAGGCCATTTAGTCAGGGATTTTGCAAATCATCTCCAAACTCTTCAAACACTCATGAGACTGCCCAAGACTTAGCTCAAGTAACAGGCTCCACTCTTGGTGATAATTCCAACCTTACAGATCCTCAGTAGGAGCCTCTTTTCCAGTCCCTGCTTATGTTGGAAAAGTAGTGGGTAGTGAGCCAAAGGCAGCCATGAGCTTTGCCAACTTTTTTGTGTGGCTTTCTGAGCTGTATATTTCACATGCAGTAAACTGTCTTGATGCGTTTATACAAAATGTACAACTTGTCAACTGAGAAACGTACTTAATAACGTAAGATCTTTTCTTAATGAGTTAACCTTTTTTGGTAAAGGAAGTTACCTACCAAGGGTGTGTTTTATCTGAGCCCCAGAAGGTCATCACAGTCATATTCCTGACCATTGGCGTCTTCAGGAATGCTAATCGTGGAAAATAAACTTTGGGCAGGAAATGGTCATGTCAGTATAGCCTATTCATGCTAAGTCTTTGTCAGATATGTATTCTATATAATTCTCCCCTTCTCGTCTCAGCATCTAAGAGCATATTATTTGAATGACATAAAAGCCATACAGATTGTGCTGAGACATTAAAAGTGATACAGGATCCAGAACTAAATAGTGTATTTTTCATTAAACAAAAATAAATGTTTACTTTCTCCATTGAGCCCCATGAAGTCACAATAGTCAAACCTTCATGAGCAGACTGCAAGAGGAGGTGATCTTTGGTCATATCCTGGTCCTGGATAGTTCCATATTTTAATATCCAAGTGATAAAATATCCAAGTGATAAAAAAATGTTTTAACATTGTTCTCTGTATGTTGAGAAAAGTCATCATTGGCCCTTTCATCAAGAGAAAATACCATGTAGTAGTTCTATGCCTGGTTCATGTCCCTGAAGTACAAATTACCTGGCCTTGTATTTTCCTCAGTTTCCCAGGGTTGTTTTTTTGTCTTAAATGAAGTTAATGCATGAGAATGGATTGCTGAAGAGGTTTTTCAAATTAATGGCAAATAGAGGTTTTATAATTTAAAAAAAAAAAAACACCTCACTGCTGTCAAGTCAATTCCAACTCATAGCGACCCCTCCTTGGGTTTCCGAGGTGATATCTCTACGGAAGTAGATTGCCCAATCCTTCCAAGGAGTGGCTGGTGGGTACTTTTGTAATTAGATTTTGGGAGGGGGTGCGGTTAAATCCTTTTGATTCTATATTAGATGATAAACATCTTACATTATTCTGTAATCATGGTCCCAGTGTGTTTTGTTCCCATCACCAAGTTGAGGGCCATGTTGGGTGTGGTTCATTCTTGGTGGAAAGGCCTGGAGAGTGGCTCTGTAGACCAGACTGGAGATTGTGAAACACAGGCCCTGCTGGGGCAGTTGTCTCCACAAGTCGATCCTTTGGTTGGATGTTGAGGGTGAATTTCTTGGTTTGCGTTTTCTTTGCTACATCCTCATCATATTTCTTTTTTGTTTCTTAAATATTTTACTACATTTTTGGTGAAAGTTTACACAGCAAATTAGGTTCCCATTTAGCAATATTGCTCAGTGACATTGGTTACATCTTCCACATTGTGTCAGCATTCTCATTCTTTCTGTCTGGTTGTTCCATTGCCATTAATCTAGCTTCCCTACACCCCTCCCCACCTCATCCTGTTATTTAGCTGAAAAAGGTGACCTCCAGGAGTGGTTTCAATTCCAAGTTTAAAGGGTATCTTTCAGGGCAGTAGTCTCAGGTTTTCCTCTAGTCTTTATCAGTCCAGTGTTGGGAGGTCTGGTGGCGTAGTGCCTAAGGCATTTGACTGCTAACCAGAAGACTGGCAGTTCAAACCCACCAGCCACTCGTCGAAAGGAAGACTGGGCAGTCTACTTCCGTAGAGATACTACCTCGGAAACCCAATGAGGGGTCTCTGTGAGTCGGAATCAACTTAACGGCATTGAGTTTGGTATTTTTTGGTTTTTGAAGTATTTGGTTATGTCTGGGAAATATCCATGACTGTTCCCCCTTTTGCTTTATTATATATATGAATACAAAGATAAAAATGCACATGCCTGCAGATACACCTGTACATGCACACGTATATACACATATATACCTTCCTATATACTTGTGTATACATATCTACCTGTGTAACCACTCATGAATTTTTTTATTTGTTCCTGCTATTGTTGCAAAATTGTATATGTTATTGCACTTACCAATAACATCCCTTATTCTTGTGTACTTCTTAGAGTCATCCTTAAAACCTTGGTCAAGTTGTGCATATCCATCACATTTCATATCAACATGAATTTTCTCTTTCAGGCAAATGAAATGTTGCTCAGTGGACGGAAGCTGACCGCACAGGAGGCATGTGGCAAAGGACTGGTGTCCCAGGTGTTTTGGCCAGGAACATTCACACAGGAAGTGATGGTTCGAATTAAGGAACTTGCTTCATGTAATCCAGTTGTATGTCTAACTTTTTCTTGCATATGTTACTTTTAAAATAAGCCCTGTTCCTCCAAAGATATACAGTATGTGCTAAATACTCCACATTTGCTCTCTACAGAGCCACCTTTGTGTTAACCCTGAGAAAGGTAGTAATTGATAACTACAGTTCTAGATCTCTCCCTTTGCAAATACCTAAGAATTAAAATCATGTTGTAATTTGGCATTGCTGTCTGAAATTTAGTGATTTAACGTGTCCTAGTACTCTGGTGGTGTAATGGTTAAAGCATTTGACTGCTAATCAGAAGATTGGCAGTTTGAACCCACCAGCTGCTCTGCAGAAGAAAGATGAGGCAATCTGCTTCTGTGAAAATTTATATCCTTGGAAACAAAGTGGGAGTTGCTATGAGTCACAATTGACATGATGGCAGTGAGTTTGCTTGGATTTATAGATATCTACAAGGAGCTGTGGTAGCTCAGTGGTTAAAGCATTAGGCTGCTAACCAAAAGGTTGATAGTTCAAACCTACCAGTACCTCCACAGGAGAAAGATGAGGCAGTCTCCTTCCATAAAGATTTATAGCCTTGGAAACCCTATGAGGCAGTTCTACTCTGTCCTGTAGGGTCACTATGACTTGGAATCAACTCTGGCAGTAGGTATAGATAGATGTCTATATAAGCTGACATGTATATAGTTCTTTATTGTTCTCAAAGTCCTTTCATAGAACCATACTTAATGTTTTTTCCCCCACAGTGGACCTAAGTTTTTGTTTAATAAATGTACTAGAAATACTTCATGTTCTGCCAACAAAATTGCATTTACCAAAAGACAGAATGAAATGTTGTTTAATATTAACTGGCATAACTCTCATCAAAACTATCCCAGACATATCTATGAACAGCTATCCTACTATTTAAATTTTGGTCCTTAAGCTGGCATTTGTACTGTTTTCATTAAACATCAAAAGAATCACAGTGTGCAGTTTGGGGCCCTCATGGGCCAGCAGCAGTCACATTGGGGACAAAAGCTAGGTCCCTTCTGAGTTTAGAGCTGGGCTACACATAGCCCTACTCTTAATAGTTAAATAACCATTTTGAAACAGAGAGTATATGCAGTATCTGATGTGGAATACACTTTTTTCAGATATTAGGCCTAATGTGTATTGTGAAAATGGAGTAGCCTTTTTAATAGGTGATTGCTCAACTTGGAGGATTGCCTCCATAATCAGAGGAGACATGGAGCCAGCGTGTGCATACACACCTACCGCTCTTGCTCACTGCTTGTTGTTTGGCCTAGGTGCTTGAGGAGTCCAAAGCCCTTGTGCGCTGTAACATGAAGATGGAGCTGGAGCAGGCGAACGAGAGGGAGTGTGAAGTGCTGAAGAAAATCTGGGGTTCAGCCCAAGGGATGGACTCCATGTTGAAATACCTTCAGAGAAAAATCGATGAGTTTTGACTGTCAGAGTGCCTACTGAACGACACTGGAACTGTTTGTTGCAGGACATCCGCGGCTCCATGTCGCCCTACTCCACCCTCACAGCCTGAAATAAGTTTACCTATAGCTCATGCTTGGAACTAGGACTGGAAACTTCCAAGCTATTTATTATCAAGGAGTTTTTAAGTACTGTAACTTTAAAATAACTACAAAACTCCTTTGTCCAAATGTCATTTTTTTATACTTAATGTAAACACAAGTATAAAAGTGTAATAGTGAGCAGTACACTGCTCTTCGAAGGTCTCATTTCTGTTATATTTGGCTTGTACTGTATAAAAAGGAAAAGAATTGTGTTTTTCTGTCTTTGGGTGGCAGGAAAGTCTAGAATAATGTCATTTTCCTCATTTTTTTTCCTTCTAGAGCACAGAATCTAAAAGTGTGTGAGCCAGCCTCACTTTGCCTAGCCCAGATAGCGATAGAGATCTGAGACATTGCCTTTGTCTCCAAGAAGGTACACATACCTCAGAGATGGAAAGTTCTAAATCAAAAGTAAAACTTCTCTTTTATGATGAAAAGTCCCCAGTGAGCAAACCCAAACTAAGTGTCCCCTTAGGGTCTCTGCTGAGACATCAACTGGTCCCCTTTTTCTAATCTATCTGTTCTTACCCAGTTAACATGAAGAAACCACTGTCTCTCTAGAAGAAAGCTTGTTTTGCAGTATTAGTGAATCACTGAATAGCTTAAGTATGGATATCTAAGTTGTAAGTTAGTCTTAGCAGGTTTTAAATAATTAGTTTTTTGACCCTTTGAAAAATAACTACGTAAGTGCTTCTTGTTGCTGGGTGAGAAAAACTACTTTATATACAGTTTTGATTTTCTATTTGCAGATACATTGATGTATTACACCAAAAAGAAGTATTTTTATGTTTATAATGTGTAATTTTTAGGTTCACTTAGAAGATATTTTATTTAATAAGTTAAAATTCTTTTGGCACACTATTAAATGCAGAAACTCCTTTCAAAAAAACTACCTTATATTAGACATTTACTGTTCTTTGTCTATGCTTTTATGTCTACACAATATACTGACTACAGTATGGTGTCCAAGAGTGCCCTGTGTACATAGACATTTTGCCTTCCTTCTGGGAAGGTGTTGATTCCTGACTACAGATGCCTTTTATTAATTAGGCTTCTGAGCTTGCAATCATATTGAATGTATGAAGAATGAAATAAAATCAAACCTTATTTTTGTACAGTTTTGAAGTTTATACTTAGAGCTGACCACCCCCCGTCGGCGTGGAGAGCTGTACAGTGTGTAAATCTACCTTTGCCTGGGATCGATTGGTACAGTATTTTTGCATCTGTGGGACCTACTTTTTTGTTCAGTAGTTTGAACTATATATAAACTGTACAATCTGTAAAGTTTTTATAGAATAAATATTCAGCTGTGAAAACTGGTTAAATAAAACTAATATTTCTTAACACATTTGACATGTTTCTCTGATAATTCTTCACTTCTGAGGTCTCTCATGGGATGTTTTCTTTGATCTTTTTTGTGAAATATACTTAAGGTAGAAAGAAGAAACATTAGTACAGTATTAAGACTAATAAACACATGTGTGACTATTAGCTACATAGGAAATAGAGTAGAACAAGTATCCTCCCAAGTCACCTCTACCTTGACCCTCCTCGGCCTGGTTACCACTTCCTGAATTGTGTGTTAATCATCTCCTTGCTTCTCTTTATTGTGTTACCTGACCACCTATGAAGTTAATCCTAAAATACATTATTTAGTTTTGCTTATTTTTGAACTTTATATTCTATCATGTCTAAATTTCTGTGATTTGCATCTTTAATTCAGTCTTTCAGAGATTTTATCTTTGTTAATTACATACCCAAACCTGCCACCATGTAGATATTCTCAGGTTGATGATTCGAACCCACCAACCACTCCATGGGACAAAGATGGAACAGCCTGCTTCCGTAAAGATTTACTGCCTTGGAAACTCTATGGGGCAGTTCTCTGAACAGTAGATTTGCTGTGAGTTGGGATCCACACAATGGCAGTGGGTTTGGTTTGGTTTTTGGTATTTTTACAGATAAAGTAACCTGAAGTATCAAACACTTGACCCAAGGTCACATAGGTAGCTTGTCAAGGCTAGGACCAGTCTTCTGACCCTGACCCTTTGTGGCAAGCCCATATTCCCCCTACTTTACCATGATGTCTGTTTTATGGAATTTACAAATAGGGAACTAATTCAGTAGAGTGACCTCAAGTTAGGAGTCTAGGTCCATCATCCAAGACTCTGCATCCTGCACAGCACATTGGCTGGCCTGTGTGCCCTCTTCTCTGAAGCAAACTTTCACTCAACTGCTACCTTAACTTTCAGAGCAAGAGAACCAATGAAGAAGCCCAGCCACAGTAGATTCTCACAATCATGCCCGCATTGTGAAGGAGATCAGAAGTGCTACCCCTCAAATAGTTGGAAGTCTAAATTGACTCGGTTTTAGAGGATAATTTGACAGTATCTATCAAAATAAATATTTAAAAACCTTGACCCTGCAACTCCATTTATAAGAATAATCATAGGAATGAATTCTTACAGGAAATACAATAATAAAGATACATAGGCCATTAAATTCATCACAAGGTTATTAGTGAAAAACTGGAAATGACATACCTGTCAATAAGGTATTGGTTACATAATTATGAAACAACCATACATTAGCATATGCAGCTGTTGAAAAAGAATGTAATATTTTTAAAACCTCAGGTGAAAAAAGGAATAACTTATGGAAAAATCACCCATTTGGTATGTTTTTAGAAAGATGAAATCGACAAATTCTCTTGTATTTGTCAGATCCCCTCCCCTGTTCATGACGACTCCATGTGTGTCAGAATAGAACTAAGATGCCTTTGGGTGGATTCAAACCACCAGGCTTTCAGTTAGTAGATGAGTGTTTAACCATTTGTATCCAGGGTTGCCATAAGTTTGAATCAACTTGATGGCAATTGGTTTACTTTTTGCCATTTCCCCCCTAGTGTTCCGCAGCTCCTGTGTTTTAAGTACTGCTCAGCCCCTCTGAAGAAGTAGGTAGCTTGTTACCATTGAGCCTGGAGACTGGGCACTAATACTAACCTAGGCCTCAGACCAGGGACATCACCCTCTTGGATTTGGTTTCCTCTGCTGTGATGCTAATAATAGCCAGCACTATTAATAATACAATAATTACAAAATGAAAGTTCTCAAAAAATATTTGGTAGGTTCATCCCTAACAAGGAGTCTAGTTAAGACTAAAGAAATTAGAAGAACTTAAAGATCATTAAGGGAAATCAGTAACCATGATAGCAACTGGGGAGAGAATTGTGTGGAGGGTGTCTGGCTAGGGCTGCAGATGTGGCTCTCTGCCCCCATCACATGATCAGGAGCACCAGGTCCCACTCCTAGTTTGGCCACATCACAATCTCCAACCCACTCAAAAATTACTTATCTGCTTACACAGTCTAAACAAGTTAAAACTTCTCCAAAGAAAAGATTGTTTATGCAACAGTAACACACAAAAAAAAAATTTACCAAAGAAAATATTCAAATGGCCAACAAACACAAGAAAAGATGCTCAATGTCATTAGCCATTAGATGCAAATCAAAACCACAATGAAATACAACCCACCATCATTAGCAATGATAATAAATTGAAAATGGAAAATGAGGTGTTGGGGGTGTAAAAAAACTGGAACTCTTACTCATTGCTGATAGGAATGCAAATTGTCACAGCTGCTGTGGAAAACATTCTAATGTTTTAATCAAAAGATTAAACATGGAATTACCATGTTGTTAGTTGGCATCAATTTGGTTCTGCCTCATACAGACCCCTATGTACAAGAGAATGAAACACTGCCTGGCCCTGTGCCATCCTCACAATCATTACTACGCTTGAGCCCATCTTTATAGGCACTTTATCACTCCATCTCATTGAGGATCTTTCCCTTTTCTTACTGACCCTCTGCTATACCAAGCATGATATCCTTCTCAGGGACTGGTCCTTTTTGACAACATGATCAAAGTATGAGAGATGAAGTTGCAACACTAACACTTTTTGAAGCCATAAGCTGTGCAGCAGGGATGGATAGATAGTGGGTAGGTGTGTGGATGGATAGATACACAAATAGGTGTGTATATATGTGTATGTACATATATAAACATGCATATATCCCAGTTTTAAATTTCAATGTAAAATTTAGGGAAGCAAAGTTAAAATCCATTGGACTTTCACTTCTAAACTAATACCAGTATTTAACAATTCAAAAGCACTGTCAGAAAGTTTTCTAGAGGGTGAGGAGGGATGTTCTGGAATAGGGCCTGTATAGTGCCTAAGGCAATTGACTGCTAACCAGAAGGCTGGCGGTTCAAACCCACCAGCCACTCCTCGGAAAGAAGGTTGGGCAACCTACTTAATAGATTATATGTAGTGATACTGCCTCAGAAACCCAAGGAGTCGCTATAAGTCGGATCTGACTCTATGGCAATGTGTTTAGTTTTTTTGGTTTTCCCTCCTGTTGCCAAGCAGGGACAGTATTTATTTTACATGTGTGTATATAAGGAGTTCTGGAAGCGTAGTTCCTAAGGCACTTGACTGCTAACCAGAAGGCTGGCAGTTCAAACCCACCAGCCACTCCTCGGAAGGAAGATGGGGCAATCTACTTCTGTAGTGATACTGCCTCGGAAACCCATGGAGGGGTCACTATGAGTTAGGTCTGACTTGACAGCACATAACAACAACAACATGTGTAGAGCTTGGTGGACTGATCAGCCCCTCCAAATGCAGAAATGATTTGTAGACCATCAAAAATCTCAAAGATGTCCAGTCTCCATTTGAGAATAGCCCTAAATCCCCAGCTACTGAGCAACCTCAAACCACTTACCACTTCCACCCATGCAGAATCAGGCCCCTGATACACCAGAGCTGGGGACTGGACTCTGCAGATGGCTGCCCCCTCACACCTGCCCTTCTTCATTCTCAGGCACAGACAAGTCACATTGCTTGCCCTGGGTCCACTGCCCTAGAGTGTAGTCTTACCCTAAAAATAGTGATTTAATTGGTCTAGCATGCAGCCTGGGCAGGGGAGTCTTCAAAGATCTCCAGATCATTCTAATCTGCAACAAAGACAGCCACTTCCCCACCCTACTTTTAGCCAATCTTCATCTTAATCTGATTTTAGCAAGTAACAGTGTTGAGAAAGGCAGGCACCTAGAGCAATGGGGGAAGGGCACTTTTAGGCTGTATGATGATGGGCAAGCCACCTGACCCCCTGGGCCTCGGTTTTCTCGTGTATAAAATGAAACAGGTGCATGTGATGTTGTAGAGAGCCCCTCCCATGCTCAAAGCTCTGGGTTTAAACTCCAGGACCCAGCACTGCCCAGGATAATGTTTCACCTCCCTCTAGTTTTTTCTTCTGGAAGGTCAGGACTCACCCAGCATGCTATGGAGATAATTTGGAAAGTCCTACAGGGCCCTGCTCAGAATTATCTTCCCACATCTTTTGGGGGCTGGGGATGGGGTGGGGTGAGACATTGCCATTGAGTCGATTCTGACTCATAGTGACTCTATAGGACAGAGTAGAACTGCCCCCATAGGATTTCCAAGGTTGTAAATCTTTACAGAAGCAGACTACCCCATCTTTCTCCAGTGGAACTACTGATGGGTTTGAACCACCAACCTTTTGGTAAGCAGCCAAATGCTTTTAACCACTAAGATATCAGAGCTTTTTCTAGGGCAAAAGCCTGGGGATAATATGTCAGAAGAGTTTCAGAAGCCCAATCGCACCCTAGGATAGATAAGAACATGAGCTGGGGGAAGTTGGTTACAGGGGGAGAGAAGTAGGTCAGTAACAGGCCAGCAGATGGGCTGAACAGAGCAGGGTTTGGGGGTAGCAGGTGGGACTGAGCATCCTGATGGCAGTGATGGACCGAGCTGATAATAGCCATGTAGCCCTAAGCTGCTCCTCTCATACTCATCTCTACCCACTACTTCCATTCATAAAATACCTTGTTGCAAAACCTTGTTCCTTAGCAAAACCACCAAATTCCTTAATCAGATGCGTCAAACCTCCCCTCAGTGCTTAATGGGTATAGATTTTACATTATTTTTAATCTGCCACTTTATAACTTTCTGTCATGATCAAGTATTATCTTTGTAATCACAAAACAATCATGGGGAAAATTCAGCTTCTAGTAATTACCAACTAGATAATTTTGATCTACCTTCCCACTGAAGACAACTAAAAAGGCTTGGATAAATGTTTAAAATTCTTATTTAAAAAAAAAAAAAAAAACTGCTATCAAGTCAATTCCAACTTGTAGCAACCCTATAGGACAGAGTACTACTGACCCATAGGGTTCCCAAGGCTGTAAATCTTTATGGAAGCAAACAGTCCATCTTTCTCTTGGAAAGGGACTGGTGGGTCCAAACTCTGACCTATGGATT